ACACACACACACACACACATACACACACACACACACACAGACACACACACATATACATATCAGCACCTAGCAAACTGAGTGACACTAAATAGGTTCAATAAATATGTGTTGAATAACTATATATGCATATGTGTATATTTGTGTACACAAACACACAGATACACATATAATCATAGCAGGTTAATATGCATATTGGATCACCAGAAATAAACAACTTATCCAGAGGCTGGTGAGGATGCTTGTGAATTTCTGGGGAGCAGAGATGCTAAAACTGATGAGCCTTTTACTTGTTTGGTTGATGAAATGTTCTCCCAGCCACAGGATTTTCTATACTTTGCAGCTCACAGTGCAGTATTCATGCCAATTTTAATTTTTTTGTTATGAAATTTCAGTGGTTCAAATATTTATGCATCTTAATAAAAAAATTTGGTTGTCCATATAAAATATAACTGCACACACAAGACTATAAACATTGTAAGTTTAGATTTTCAGTATTTATCTACTTATTGCAAAAAAAAGCCATCTTTTCTTTTTCATTAAATAATCAATCATCACATTAGTACAATACAATTTTATATTTTTAAATATACTATATATGTTAAGGATAAGGGGTGAAGTTTTCTTCTTTTGTAATACCTGTTCAAGAGTTTAATGGATTAGGAGATTAGTTTTAACCTTGCAAAAAAAGTACAAATTTGTCTCATTAGGGTATTTCTACCAAGCATTTCTTAAGGCTATATTTTAACATTTGGTTTTCAAAAAGAAAGAAAAGTTTCATTTAAAAAATAATTTAGTGAATTACATTCTTTCATAACTTCCACCCTAATTAGTTACAAAGATAAGTCTAAAGATTCTTAGTTTTGTGTACTAATTTACATTTACATTTAAAGATTAATTTTACTTGTATCTTAAAACAAGGATTTTACGTTGGAAAAACAAAAGAACTAAATACATTTGTATAAAGGCTGTAAATGTCCCATGGCAAATGCTCTGTCTGGATATATTTTACCACAATCAGAAACAGGTCTCTGCAGACAGAGACTGGGGTTCTTAAGGTTCACCTTTTCCGAGAAATTGTGGGCTGCAGATCTGAAGAACACATAGAAACAACTTGATTTCTCTTTTGACAACTGTACCAGAACTTCACAGCTACAATGATAGGATGAATACATGAAAAAATGATTTCACTCAAACAGGGCTTAGAAAAGTAGGGCGACCTCAGGGCCAGGGGACCATCCCTGCGCGGTGAGGTTTACAGTCAGTCATTCAATAATGGAGAGTGTGTGTGTGCACATATGTGTGTGTGTGTGTATATACAGGTATCTCTATATATAAATAACCATGTTCAGTCCTTTACAAGCCTGTAAATATGATGCTGTGCTCCATGTTCACTATTTGAAACTTCAAATACACAGGCCATGCAGAGGAGAGTTTCTTGGGTATCCCTGTTTGTTACCACCTGTTAAAAAAAAAGTATATATACATATATATATATATATATATATAAACACCACATGGATGAAAACATATTCCATCTATGCCATGACGACAATGATTTACTTGGAAAAGAACAGTCCACAGTCCAACAAGTGGATTAGCAGAGACCTTTCCAGCCTCTAGCACGAGTCCAGCATATTATGGGCCTGACACAAATCCTGTCTGAGCTGAGTTACCATACGTAAGAAAGACCTTACAGACACGGTCTCACCCATAATCTGGGCCCCAGAAGAATTAGGGTGGGGTTTCCGCGGGGCCGGTTTCTATACAACAAACACGATTTTCTATAGAACCCTGTCCCATGGGACAGTCATTTATCCTCGGAATCGTCTCCTATCTTATTTCTAAACTTGTACTAAATTTGTTTCGCAATAGCCAATGACAGACATAAGCTCCACAAATGCCCTGCTCACCACTATTAACCAGCAGTGCCTGGTTCAGCACAGTATGTGCCGAGTAAAGGAACAGTGGTAGAATCATGTCAAGTGGATCCTTCCTGATGTTTTGGATTTGAGAGCCTGGTCCAGTTCATGGCGGCCTCACTGCCCCCACATATCAGGCTGCTCTGCTCATTTAGGACCCTTAAGGCATCCAAGTTTACGGTCTCACAGGACTTGTAAATTTTCCCACCATAGCAGTCTGTACTATAACTACCTATAGATTTGTATGATTTTTTTTTTTTTTAATGCCCATCTCATCCAGTGGACTGTCAAGTTCCCGAAGAACAGAGACCGCGTTTCCCAGTAATTCGTGATTAGCTTACTGTTTGGCACACGACAGTCACCTCATAAATATTTACTGAATGAAAATTCACATAATAGCCAACATATATTGACTGCTTAGTATGTGTCTATGCAGTATTAAATGCTTTACACCCAGTGTCTCATATAATATAAAATCCTGTGTGCAGGTGCTATATCACTCCCCTTCTGACAGAGAAGGAAGCTGTGGGGTTAATTTGTTTAAGGTTATACAATTGTCAACTAAGAAGCCAGCTCTTCTGCTTCTGAAGACCTTTCTCTTAACCATCATGCCATGCTGCTCTAGACAAATGATACGTATACAGTGACGAATTATCTACATTATTTTTCCCCTGGGCAATAAAGACTTTCCTCAATACTGGTCCCCACGCGCTTTTCTAGTCTTACTTCCTGCCACTTTCCTCACAGATCAAATATTCCAACCTGCAGGTCTTTTGTCCTTGAAACCTCTCTCTCCCTCATCCCCATCTCCAAACACATGTCCTGCTGCTCTTCCCTCCTGAGTCATTCTTGAATCCATCCCCTTTCCACCGCCAAGGAACCTCACCTGGACTCCTCCACTGGGAGCCACCCCTGCTCGGCACTAGTTCCATTGGCACACAGCAGCCACAAAAACTGTGTAAGAAATATAAACCTGACAACAACCCACTCTTGCTTGAAAAGCCCGATGGCCTCTTTTAAACTTTAGGATGAGGAGGACACCTGTTCTCATCCCACAAGGCCAAGGAGGCCCTGTCCAGTCTGGCCGTTCCTCCCCAGCCAGCTCACTGCTCCTTGCACTCCTCCACCCCCCCACCCCCACCCAGTTCTCCACAGCAGCCACAGGACCCCATTTTCCGCCCTCCTACATGCCGCCTGCCTCCTGTCTGCAGTGTGCTTCCCTGCCCTCCCTGCCTATTCTTCTGGCGGGAATCTCTCAATGCTTCTTCCTCAGGGAAGCCCTCCCTGACTACACGAACTAGGTCAAATCCTTCTAATATATGCTCTCTTGGCACCATGTACCCATCTTTGCAGCCATAGGCCACAGTTTAGTTTACATTCATTTTGTGATTATTTGAGGAATGCCTGCCTTCCTCACCAGACTCCAGGATGGCGGCCCCACTTAAAAATTGTCTGTCAATCAAGGCAAATTAAATATCGTCTTTTAACATCCCTGAGAATTCCCTACATCACTCCAAGTACAGGTACCTGCTCAGGTAATTAAACTACCCTGTACTTCACGGTGCCTGTTTTACAAGAACACTACAGCCATTATTACCTCATATTGCAATCATTTATTTACGTGCCTTTTCCCCCCTACCAGGCCAAGATTTACTATGAAGACAGTCTTTCTGTTTTATTCGTATTGTATTTCAGCAGCTGCTACAATCTCTCCATAGTTTAGCTGAATGAATTAAAACATTCTCAATAACCTGTGAGGTGGAGAGTACAGATTTGAGCATTTTGTTTGTAAACAGAGGAGGACATAAGTCTAGAGATTTTAAATGACTTATCCAACGTCATGAAGTAGGGCTGGGGCTTAAACCCAAGTCTTCTGATTCCACGATCATGAAATATTCTGCAAAGTGTCTTTTCTACCAATTCAAGTCTTAATGTATACCTATTGCTGGTTTTGTGACCTTGGGTAGGCCTGACATTACTTATCCATAAAATGGGAGTAAAAAGGACCTCACAGTTGTGCAGTGAGCATTTCATTATTTAACATTTACAAAAGGTTGAGCACGTGCCTGGAACCTCTAAGATCTATCCTACCTGCTCGTCTACTTTCTATGAAAGACTATATCCTGTTTAGGCTTCATGATTGAGATTCTAAAGGAGTTAAGGGGGGAAAAGAAGATGTTTCTAGCAGCCTGCATGGATGCTGTCACTAAGGCCCCGCACATACAGGTTCACCTCAATTCCTGAATCATCCTGATGAGATCAACAAGTCTAGCCCACCAGCCAGGAAGGTCTGGGTCTGGTCTTGTTGACACAGGCTTTGCATCTAATGTACCTAGTAAAACACCTAAAGCGATGTCCCGCAGCTGCCATCCTGGCCATGTTCCTCCATGCCACCCTGAGGAAGAGCTGAAAATACTCCTTCTCCTGCTATCAGTGAGATGAAGTTATGCTCATAATCCAGGAGTGCTGGCTTAATTCCAGCTTTTCTAAAGCTGAAGTATACTATTTCTAGCAAATATTTATTGAACACTACTAATTCTTTATATCAAAGGAACTTATTTAGCTGCTTAATGACACATTTTGAAATTCATTTAACATGGTGTGGTAACTGGATGTCTAGGCTGCTTAAAGTCACAACTCCCAAAGGGAGCATTGCTGATATAGTTAGATGGAGTTTGTGGGTAACAGGTGCTTTAAACTGTTTTCAGGCCTTAGTTTCCTTAGATATGCTCTGTGAGGTAAGGTTTTAGGGACTGAGGACACAGTCCTTAAAATGCTGAAATAGATGCAGAACTAGTTTTTAAGAACTAGCTAAGGCTTCTTCCAAGAGAGGTAGGCTGGCCATCCAGTCAGAGTTTTGGTAAATTCCCAAAGCTATTTAATGTCTACACCAGGATGCCACACTCACCTTCTGCTCATCTGAGCAATAAGCTGATCTGTTCTTAAACACGACAGAGTACCTGTATGACCAGGACCTGCCAGCACCCCAAACCTTGAACTGCTCATTTTTCACCAAAGACCATTAGAGAAGAGGACGCTAATGAATAATAGTTACTAAAGAACATGTCTTCCAAACCCTCCCTCAACTTGCTAGTTTCTACATTTCAGAGGGCCTTGGACACACTTGAGGATCCACTGAGGTTTTCTCCCTGCAATAAATGAAATCGGCTCATTTACCAACCCCCTAGCCTAGAGCAAGGATCTCAACCCCTGTGTGCAGGACAACTCCCTGAGGATTCTGATTTTATTAATCTGAGGTGGGGCCCAGGCCTCAGAAGTTTTAAAAGCTTCCTGGAGCAATCCTAATATGCAGAGGCTTTTAATTTTTAAAGTTTTAAATCTTTACTTTTTTACATTGGTGTGAGGGAACTGGCTCCTACTGGCTCTTGAAAGTTATTATTAAATATTAAGGAATTTCATGAGCTGGACAACCAGTGGTAGCTTGAAATTCCCCATGGAGGGGGCATTTATACCACAGAAAGGAGCAAAAGTTATAAATCAGGGGTTTTTTTGGGGGGTGGGGGGTGGGATGTTGAGGTAGAGCTTTTTTTTTTTTTCACCAGCACACCCCTGATTGAGAACCCTGGTCTGTAACGCAGACCTTCAGAGGGCTATGTGACCACAATATTGTTTTGCTGCCTCTTTTAGCAAAATTGTTTCCACCAAGTTTTGTTTTGACATTTTTCCTTCAGTTTAATCAAAGAATATTATTCTTTTTTAAATGAGCCTTAGGAAACCCATTACTGTATATTTTATAGGTATATTTTGAGGATGACACTATTCTTAATAACCTTTCCAAGTCCCCAACTGAAGCCTCCATGAGAAATTTGTTTTAATTAAAGTTAAATACTTAGCCCCGCCCTCCCGCGCCATGCCCACAGAATTACCCACGGGAGCCAGAAGGCTGAGCGCCATTGTTTTTTCCTTTCCCTTTGGCTGCCCATTAAGTTTTGACCGCGCTTTTCAGCCTCTGGAGAATATTTCCAACCCTTCCTGGTCATGACATTCTATTCTAATTTATGTTTCTTCTGGGACTGAGCGTTTATATCTTGCTATCTTAATGTGCGTTACTTCTTATAAGACTGCAAATCCTTCATGAAATGAGTCCAGGTATGTTTGAAGTACAAACCCGCTGACTCAGCTTTTCCTCACTTAACGGTTTGTATAACACGATGCTAAGACACAAAGTTGACTGACACTGGAATTACCCAGGGAGCTTTAAAAACTACATGTCTAGGTCCTAACCTCAGACACCCTGATTCAATGAATACAGGTTGCAGTCTTGGTATCAGGATTTTTGTGTATCAAGGTCTTCCTCCAGGTCTTTCTCAGAATTGAGAATCTAGGACTATCACTTTTTATTACCCCCCTGAATTCCAGTTCTGCCAAGCTTAGAAACCCCAGTCAGATGAGACCCCATATCTTCCACACACTTGAGCCGAACCAAGCTCAAACCTGCCCTTTGGGTGTTTGAATTCAACTGCTAGTCGACCGCCTAAGGCCCAACTCAGCAGCCTGGTCAGCTCCCTTGGCCCAGACCCCCCATGCCTCCCACGCCTACCTTCCTGTCTTTCCCCACCAGCCTCATGGCTGAGTCTGTCAAAACAGGGAAGAGACAAAACAGTTACCAATAAAATTGTGAAGTTTTCCAAAACACTATTCATCATATATTTCTCTGGTAAGTGTTTGAGCTTGTGGATGAAGTTGATCATGTATTCACACATCGGGGAGCGGTTTATTCGGTATACAAATCGGCCATTCTCAAACCTTGCATACTCCGTCTGTGAGGGAAAAAGGATTTGAGCATTTTTATACTTTTAACTTCAAAATACATGAAAAAGATATGAGTGCCCATTAGAGCATTTTATTTTTCCAATATGAAATGTCTGCTATCTAGTGTACTACCTCTGCAGTTTACTTAATTTAAAAAAAAATCCTATCTCCATATTTAATGTCATACTCAGAAACCACAATTTTCCTGGAAATAAAAAATAAAAAATTGGAACGATGAACGCTTTAGAGAAGAGTTGTATAGATCCTATCCAGCAACGGTCAGAAAAATACATAACCACCTATTTGGTGATTCTCTACCTGGAGATCTGTGAGAGCACGCCTGGTTAGTTAGAATTCTTCAAAGAGCCCAAAGAAAATCCTTTTTTTCTGTGATAAGGTCTCACAGGCCAACAACCAATGCAGCTAACTTCTCTGCTTTAGGAAAAACTACTTCATACTCACCATGAGCTCCTGACAGTTATTTATGCCTTTAATTAAAAAAGAAAGTAAGAAAACACTGGTATATATGCAGTTTGAAGATCCCACTAAAGCACTCAGAAATAAGAAACACACTCCTGGATAACCTTGGATCAAAAAGGAATTAAAAAGGAAATTATAAACTACCTAAAGAGTAATGGAAAGGAAAATACATAAAAACTTATGGGACTCCATGAAGCTACATTTGGAGGAAACTTAATGAAGCAGCTTCATGTCTTCATTATTAAAGATGAAAAGTTACAGAGCTAAATATACATCTTAAAAAAATTTTTAAACCCCACAAAATAAACCAAAATTATGAAGAAATCAAAAGAAACCAGGAATAGGAAATTAATAAAGATAAAAACACAAATCAATGTAATAGAAATAAAAAATGTATACAGAATAAATATAAAAATGGGTTTTTTTAAAAGACAAAATAAACCCTTCACAAGCTTAAGAAGGAGAAAAAAGAAGAGACAAAACCACAATTACAGTAGAGATCAGAAGCTTTACACAACTCTACAGAAAAAAAAAAGGCAAAGAAAACCTAGAGGATAGGATGCTTTCCCAGCAAAATACAAACTGCTGCTACTGAACCAAAAAGCAGCAGAAAATTTCAATTGATCAGTAACTAGAAAGTTGTTTTAGAGACCTACCGCTGAAAAAGGTACACAGATCAAATGGTTTCACAGCTGTTTTAAGAAACCTCTAAAGAACAGTTACTTTCAATATTATTCAAACTATGCCAGACCACAGAAAAGATAGGTGTCCCAATTCTTTTTGTTGTTGTTTTTTTTTTTAGCTGAGCCATCCTGCTACCTGTTGGCAGCTCAGCGGCTGCTCAGCTGGGGCTGGACTCGAACCGCTGTTGCTCAGAGCTCAAACTCTTGAGCGAGCTCTTAACCAACTGAACCACTCGGCCGGCCCCCCAATTCTTTTTATGAAACTGATGTACATTCAATACTGAAATTTGATAAATGGACTGTAAAAAAGTACAGGCTAATATCACTTATGAGATGCAAAAACTGTATGTAAAATAGCAAACAGCATGCATCAATGTAACCAAAGTAGGGCTTTCTTCAGGAATGCTGTGGCGGTACACATGTAGGACATGTATTAACTTGTGATGTCAAAAAATGGGAGAAAAACTGGAGAAAAAACATATAGTAAGAGTTGCTGAAAAGGCATTTGATAACATATTACAGCTGTTAATGATAAAAACCCTAAGTAAAATAAGTATAGAAAGAAAGCACTTAAATATAAAGATCATTTATAAACCAGTAATAAATATAATCCTAAATGGCAAAACCCCAAGACCCTTTCCACTACCATCAGGAAGGATACAAAGATACTATTGCTAATACATTTCCTTTTACAACTGTGTTGGAGGTTTTAGCAAATGGAAAGGTGAGGAAATAATAATTTTTAAAAACTGGCATAAACATTGGAAAAGGAGATAAAATAAAGCTGATGATAAGATTATATACATAAAAAGCCCAAGAACTTAGGGGGAAAACCACTAGAGATAAATAAGGGACTATGACAAGATGGCTAGAAAGAACACAGGTATACAAAAACCAAGAGCTTTTCTTTATTCTGCTGATTAAAATCTAGAAATGGGAAATTATACTAACAAGTTATATAATATTTAGAAATATACTTAACCAGAAAGGGATAAACCTATATATGAAAACTATAATCTTATTAAAATAGATAAAATGAGATGGAAATGAAAAAAATAGGTTCTTGAGTGGAAAGACTTTATATCAATAATATATTGATTTATCCCAAAATAATATCTAAATCCAATCCAATTACAATTAGTTCTCGAATAAGGTTTTTGTCTTTACATTTTAAAAACGTAAATAATGAGATTTAAAAATAATCTCATTATTTGAAAATGCTGGTTACTAGCTTAGAAAATATATGAAAAAGATTAATGAGACTGACTTTCTCAGCAGGTATCAGAACATACTATAAAGCCATTGTAATTAAATCCACATGGCATTGGGGTGTGTAGAGATAAACAGAGGGTAGAGAGAATAAGAGAGACACCAGGAACAGCTCCCAGTCTATGTGGAAACTTCAAGGGGACAGATCCATTCTGTGAGAAAAGGATGAATCATTAATAAATGGTTGATATAAATACCAGTCTATTTGAAAGAAAATATAAGTGGACTTCCCTTTCATGCCAAATGCAGAAATACATTCTAAGTGGATTAAAGGCTTAATTATAAAACTCCACCTGTCACATTCACACCCTCTTCTCCACGAAAATTCCAGGGGTTTCATCAGTCAAAAGCAACCTTTCACTGCTCCTTGAACTAACGGAGAGCTTTGGGTGTGTTATCTGAGGACACAGTGAAGGATCATTTGAAATCTGGAAAACTGAGTAATTTGTTGGGTTCCTATTTTGTCACCTATACCTGTCCAGGCAGGAAGTCCACCTACAGATGAGCCCTGACAACTGACAACCTGGCTGTTGAGAAGCAGTGCTTAGCACTAACTTTCCACATTCCCAAGCATGTTCCAGGTAACACTGTTTCCTCCTCCTCAGAAGGGATGAAGGGCATCTGATTCTAGGTCTCCCAGCCCTGTCTCATTCATTACACAGACACTTTCTCACCTGCCCTTCCTTGGGCTTCTCGGACCTTACACTCAGCCAGTTTCCCAGCACCCTCATCCGTTTTTGTCCTCTGCTCCTTTGTGTCTCCCTTCCATTCACCCCAGGGCTGAATGCAGCTCCCCAAATTGAACCCTTATTTCTATGCCCTTGCTAGTCTAGTCCTTCTCTGCAGCTAGTTCTCTATTCCCATAGCTTTAATTATTCTTAATGGTTAAGATTCCCAATTAATATTTTCAGTCTTAACCTGTATCCCAAATTCTGGCATCTATAACCATCCCCTACTTCCTCTTGAATACCTTATTTCCTTATCTCTGCTGGTGGCAGCACTGTCCTTCCAAGCACAACATGTGACCTTTGAGTTTTCCTCCTCTTCAATCTTAAATATCCAGTTTCTAAGCCCCATTCAAAATGTCTCACTGGATTCCCACTGCCACCATTTTAGTAAAGCTTGCTTATGACCCCTAAGCTGAAACTGATCATCTAGTCAAATCACCTATATCCTCTTCTGCCAGCGTAACCCTCTTTAACACCATTCTCAGGATGCCTGTCCTATTCTCAGGAAACTGAGGGCCTGCAGCACCCAAAATCCTCAGTGTTCAGCCCAAGGTCTTAAAAAGTATGCCCTCCCGCCTCTCCCTCCCCAGTGCACCCTCTCCCTTCCACGCCTCAGTGCAGTCTTTGTCAGTCAGGTTGGGCTCCTGGACCTGCGAGGTCCAGGACAGCTTTGAATAAAGCTTCTCTCTGAACATGGACTGATTGGGTGATGGGTAGAAGGCACTGGAAAATGCCACTTTCAATGAAATGTCAACTGCAAACATCATTCACACAAAGCAACTGACTCTGAGAAAATGAACATGTGTTTTTTGAAAGGGAGGGAGGCGTGAAATTACAAAGCCATAAATAGGGATTTAATCCCAGTATATACTGGAATAGACTTTAAAATAATTATAATGAAGAGGGTGGAAATGACAAAGCAATACCAATCTCAAGGTATCTGGGTTTTAGAAGGCCAGTGCCTATCAGCTGAATACCGCCCTGGCTGTTCTCTACAGGGCCTGGGGGTGCCCTTGGGGCTGGGGGTGGGTGGGGAGGCAGCATAGGATGGGCGTCAGCTTCCACACCAGGACACCCCATGAGAACTCGGGCAGGACTGAACCCTGCGGCCTGGCAGGCGGGGCAGGGCCGACTTCACACAGTCAGGGAGGGCTGCCATGGGACTTCTTCCTTGCGTTCTCTCAGCTGCTTTCACGTCATTTTGCCTTTTGTGGAAGTAACAGGGGAAAGACGTGGGAGAAAGGGGGATGGAAAGGAGGAGACACCAAAACAAAGTGAAACTGTTTGCCCCAAGGAAGCTTTGAAGAACTTTGAAGGACGGCAGTAATCTGGCCTTGAAGGAGGGGTCTGGTGTATAGAGGCCAACTTACCTCTACTTTTTCTACTACTTGCTTCCCAAAGGAGCAAACTTTGGTGGAACAGGTGACTGTCATATTTTCGGAACTCTCATACTGACTGGTTACACCGTAAAAAGCCCCGGCATCATCTTGAATATTGCAGTTTAAATCAGCCTGTTGGAAAGGAAATGGTGGTGAGGGTTATGCTCTCAAGTCATGGCAACAAGAAACGACCGGCAGGGGAGATGGCGAGGTGATGCTCACTGAGAAACAAATCCCATGGCCCATAGGTCATTTTTTTGAAGAGACTGCAATGTTCTTGGGCAGTCTTCCCTGGAAATGACATGCTACACGAATCAATTGTTTCATTTTCTTGCATTCTGCATCAGAATAGTGCTGTACCTTTGAAATAAAAGATCCAAGAGGTCTTTGGCAATGTGTGGAAAGCAGTACAGTTGACCCTTGAACAACACAGGAAGTCAGGGGCTCCAACCACCGGCACAGTAAAAAATCCATGCATAACTTCTGACTCCCCAAAAACGTAACTACTAATACCTACTGTTGACCAGAAGCCTTACTGATAACATAAACAGTCGATTAACACATACTTTGTAAGTTACATGTATTAGATACCATAGTCTTACAATAAAGCTAGAGAAAAGAAAATGTTTATTAAAGTTACAAGGAAAATACATTTACAATATTGAAAAAAATCTGTCTATAAGTGACTCACACAATTCAAACCTGTGTTGTTCAAGGGTCAACTGTATATGAATTGAATTCATATTCACTAATCTTTAGATATATTTAAAAGCACAGGAGACTCTGGCTGACTGGCCATTTGTTTTATATATATATATAAATCCAGAAACTTCACTACAAATGATAGCATCTGGAGGGGAGACTGTTCCTACTAAAGACTAGCTTATAAAGATGCTAAATAATTAACACAAATCATCACTCATTTAACACATTTTTATGAGTACCTACTATGTAAGGGGTCATACCAGACATAAGATTGGACTACCACCTAATAAAGGAGATATGCACATAAAATATCTATCATTTAGATAGAAAAATAAGTACCATGTCAAAGGCACTCAGAGCTGAGACAATAGGAGGCATTAGTTTCAACCAGGTGTGTTATTAAAGGGATGGTTAAGATTTACACATGCGGAGAAGGGCTGAGGGGATAGTGTGGGCAGAAGAGGACCAGAGGGCTTCATTCTTGCTACAGCGCAAAGACCAGTGGTTCGCAACCTGTGGGTCGCGACCCCTTTGGGGGTCGAACGACCCTTTCACAGGGGTCGCTGGGTACTCATATGCGGGCGTATCTGCATGTGGGCCTGGAAACGGATAGAGGAGCGGTGCCTCGGTTCCTAAGACCATCGAAAATATGTGTTTTCCGATGGTCTTAGGCGACCCCTGTGAAAGGTTGAGAACCGCTGGCGACTAAGGAGACTGGGAGGAATGAGTGTGGAAATGCAGCTAGGGCCCACGTCAAGGAGGGCTCAATACGGGGTTTGGCTGTATCCTGGAGGAAATGGGGACCTCTCGAAAGCTTTGTCACAAGAAGTGATGTGATCAGAACTGGGCTTCAGAGAGAAATGTCCCAGCATGGCATAAGGTCCATTGGAGAGGGAGGCTGGGAGGCTGCAGCATTTACATTGCTGACTGATGGATGGTTCCCTTCCCTCGAATATCTCCTAACCCCCCCACTGCACGCCAGGCACTGGGTGTGGAGCTGAGCTAGCCCCTGCTGTCAGGGGGCTTACGATTTAGTAGGGAGGACATCACGACAGAGATAAGCACTCCTGAGAGAGGCGCAGAGGAGGCATGAGAACAGACAACGGTGGGAGGGGGCCCTTGGGGTCAAGGAGGCTTACGAGAATGATGCAGCTCAGATCCAAGGAAGACGTGCTGGTGTAGGCAAGCAGGGCATGGGCGGGGGGGGGGGGGGGGTGTGTGTCAAAGGGTCCATGGCCAGAAACAGTAATAAAAGAGCTGGAAAGACAGAGCAAGGGAGAGAGGGTGGCAAGAGGGGCTGGGGAGGCGGGAGGGTTTGGGTCTTTTTTGGGGAGTTGGGGGGGGGATTGGGTCTTGTATCCTAAAACCAGAGGGAAGGAGCAGTAAGCATATGGGATTGCGAGACAGGGATGGGGTATGATCAGATTTGCGTTCCAAAAAGGCAGCCCTGGCCCCAGGCTGGAGAACGCTCTGGAAGAGTAAGCACGCAGTACAGATATATTAAGAGGTTACTAGCACAGTCCAAATGAGAGGTTATTTGGACTACTGTGGTGGCTGTTAAGACAATTAGATCTGATATACAAATGAGAGTGTATTTTGTGAGGTTTGGCACATTTTGACTAATTTCAACACCTTGACAGGCACTAACCACCATGAAGACCTGAGCCATCCTATCGTGTTGTGCAGTGTATAATGCGCACCCACGTTTTTGGTCCAAACTTTCAGGGGGAAGAAAATCTTTCGTTTTCATTTTTCAATTCAAATTTTTATTTGTTTACATTTAGGTACTTGTTTTTTGTATTATAAAGAAATTTCAGCATTTATTTTTTTAACATATTATGGTGCAAGAAATGATATGTAACAAATAATTACAAAACACAAGAACATATACAAGGTACAAGAAATTTTATGTACCGGTAACAAACTTACAATATTTATGTATCATAGAAGGCCAAGAACTCGTTGCAAGTCATGGTAAGTTCCACAAAACCAATTATCATACTCCTGGATATTATTTTGCATACGGATATCATTATTAATTTCTAGAGTTACACTTTAACTCATAAGCATAAATAAAAGAATTAAAAACATTTACAAAGATATGGAATTAGTACCATGCGTAATGCGCATCCTTATTTTTCCCTCACAAATTTGGGCAAAATGGTGGGCATTATACATGGCAAAATACAGCACTAAGGATCTGCATTGAAATTTCTTTCTTGAGTATCAGGAAAATGTCCATTTCCTTAGGCAAAATTTCATATTTTCTGGCCTCGTATAAAAAGAACTATATACTTTAAATTCTTTCCCCCTTTCACCTTATGTGCCAAGAAATTCAAAGCTAAGTTCAGTGCTCGACTGCAGTAATTAACTTATCCCGGGTACTTTTAATAGCTCCTAACAACCAGTGTGCAGCTCCTTTGACCGGATTCCAACCTGCTTTTACTTGTACTTGTCCAGTTTTATATTACCTATAAATTTAGTAATACTCCCTCGCATTTAGCTTTTTGGAATTATACATATGGGGCATACATCATAAATAAATAAAAATACCCAGGTGTGCATTTTTCTCACATTCAAAGGTTCGACATTTGGCTCCATGAAAGAGCAGCTTAGCAGGAAACAATGGATGTCTCCCCCTAACTGAGCTCTGTATCAGAGCTACCCAAGGCTGAAGAGGCCCCAGTGTCTACCTGAGCTCCAGCCTTCAGGGGAGAAAGGTACCAACACATCCTAGGCACACAGGAGCTCTGACACTGGAATTACCACCCAGCTTCCCAGAGGACACTGAAAGTGGGCCTTCAAGGACTGTCATTGCCTTGTTCTGCCACCAGCTGAGAACACGGGGCTCTGAGAAGCACTCAGGTGTTCTGCAGCATTGGGATCATCAGTGATGTTCTTCCTGGGGTTTATGCTCTTACTATAGTCAGCCCTCCCCATCTGCAATTCAACCAACCTCAGATAAAAAATATTAGGAAAAAAGTTACATTGTTGCTGGCGTGTACTACGCAGTTAGGCCTACGATGGTTGCGTCTGCACTGAGCATGTGCAGACTTTTTTTTCCCTTGTCATTATTCTCTCAACAATACAGTATAACAACTATTTACATAGCATTTCCATTGTATTAGGTATTATAAGTAATCTAGAGATGATTTAAAGTATACGGGAGGATATGCATAGGTCATATGCAAATGCTCGGCCATTCTGTAATACATAAGGGACTTGAGCATCATGGATTTTGTTGTCTGGACATTTCAGGAACCAACCCCCTTGGATACCACGGGATGACTATATGATGATGTAGCTTGTGCCAACAAGTTTTAGCATTTTAAAAAATGTAAAAACATACACATGGTAAGTAAAGAAATCAAACTGGAAAAAAGGGTGTATATTTTATTTCTACCCCTGAACTTGCCAACCTCCCCGAGGGTGACTAGTGTGATCTGTTTCTCAAGTGCCCTTTTAGAGATATTTAGCATTTATATACTCTGCTTTTACTTGTACTTGTCCAATTTTATATTATCCATAAACTTAGTCACACTTTTTTTGCACAAACAGTAGCACACTTCTAACCCTTGCTTTTAAAAAAACCCCAAAAACTACTTTTTAGAACTCATATGATAGAGAATATCAGTATTAAAAAGAACAGCCACTTAAAAACTGAACAGCCACGGTTTATAGTGGCTGCATGCTATTCCATTGCCCAGATGCACCATTAATTTAGTATGTGCTCTATTGATGAATATTTAGGATGCGTCCCAACAACAGCGCAATGTGTATGTGGAGCAGAAAAAGTGCATCAGAAATTATTTTTACTGTCCTTTCTGTCAACCTTAAAAAATTCCCAGCTTTTAAAAAGAGTATTAAATGGGCTGTAAATCCATCGTTAGCTGGCTTAATAATTTCAACCAACTCACTATTTTGATGTAATCAAGTTGTTTTGCAAGACTGGTGAGCAACCAAAAGCAGCTTGGGTGTTTCTGGTGTCAGGAGTGGAGTGTGGGAAGCAGCACAAGGAAATAAGCAATGTGTGGGGGAGTCCACATGAGAGTAAATGGAATCGGTTATTTATTTATTTATTTTAAACTGTCAACCTCCACTTACTGCGGTGATTTAACCAGGAGGGAGGTTCCTTAAGAATTTTACCTCAGCTCCCTCGGCACAATGTTTTGTTTTCTTTCATTGTTGTTAATGCTCCATTTTTCACTTTATTCACTCCCGTGGCATTATTTTTGACAAGCAAAAGATGTGCAATGTAAACAAGCCTGGACACTTGAGGTCTAATGCAAACACAGAACAATCTGTCAATAGAAACAATTTTAAAATGTGAACAATAACAAAAAAAAGTGAACCAAGTTCAGAATGGTGTTCCCCATTATTTGATGTCAACAAAATTGCTGGAAACTTTCACAGCGTTCATGTTTCCA